TCTCTCTCTCTCTCTCTCTCTCTCTCTCTCTCTCTCTCTCTCTCTCTGTTTCTGTGCTCTTCTTCTACTTCCCCTTCCCTTCCATACTTCCATAACCCACTAAATAAATATCCAACCTCACTCTGCATGGCATGCCTCCTATCCATGTCTCTGTCTCTCAGCCGCCTTCGGAGACCTGCGGCGTGATCTCGTGCACTGTCCCTGCCTGGGACTGGCTGCTCACGGGACCACTGCCCCCTTCCTGCCACCACATGGCCCACTGACTGTCACCGCTTGGAGACCTGCAGAATTTCTGCCACAGTGTTTCTGTACAGCATCTTATTTTTACCATTACGATAGGGTCTTATGTAGCCCAGGCTTACCTCGAAAGTCACTATGTAGCCCAGGCTGGTTTTGAACTCTTGACACACTCTGCCTCTACCTGTGAAATGCTGTAAGTTCAGTAGTACACCGTCATGCTCCCTAACTTTTGTTTTCTGGGTGGTGCTCTGGCTCCAGTTTTCTCTAGCTGGTGATCTCACCATCCCACCCCCTTTTTGCACCCCACCCTCACCCAGGCATGGTCCCATCCATGTTTGGTGGGACACTTCGCTGAGGCTGAGGTGGGGAAGGTGAGGATTCCTAGTCCTTTAGACAGAATCCGCTTGTTCCCAGCAGGCCTCCGCCCTCACCCCCATCTCGGCTGTCGGAACTCCCTTTCCTCAACGTCCAGGTCTTCTTTGCTGTTTTGGTGGATAAGCTAAGTCACAAACCCTGTGCAGTCCTGTCCTCCAGTTTCAGAGGATTCAGATGGCTCCTGCCTCTAAAAACCAGTATTCTTAGCAGTGGAAAATAGGCGTCTCCAGTTTTTCCAGTATCCTTCATTAAACTGCTAGGGAACAGTTGTATAATGGGGGACCCGGCTTATTATTTCTGGCTGCTAATTCCCCCTACCTGCCTAGCCTTCCTCAGGAGAAACTAAGCTGCTCGTTCTTTTTCTTTTGTCTGTTTGCCTCTGGTTGGTTTATTTGAGGCCCAGACCTTCCTGCCCCCACCTCTCCAGTGCTGGCGCCAAGCTGACTGGTCGCCCTTGACCCTAAGCAGCTGCAGGCTGGTTTTGCTGAGGACAGACCGCCCACGGTCCTGCACAGCAGGGCTTGGTTCCTGCAATGGCTTCCTGCTTCCTTTTTATTTCTTCTTCCTCTTCCTCCTCCTCCTTCTTCTTTTCTGTTTTTGAGATAAAGCCTTGCTTTGTAGAGTTGGCCTGAATCACAGGATCCCCTACCTCAGCCTAAAAGAACAGGCATTACAGACGTGTTAACCCGCCCAGCTGCAGGTTTCTCTGTAAAAGTGAGACTCCAGCGGGGTGTGGTGTTGCACACCTGGAATCCCAGCCCTTGACAGGAACCTAGTCTCTCTTTGTGTGTGGAGGCAACAGGATTGTCACAATTTCAAGGCCAGCCTGGTGTACGTAGAGAATTCTAGTTCAGCCTGGTGTACGTGGAGTTCAAGGCTAGTCTGTTGAGAGTTTCTAGTCCAGCCTGGTATACATAGAGAGTTCTAGGCCAGCCAGGGGTACACATAGAGAGACCCTGTCTCAAAGAGACAGCTATCTATCTATCTATCTATCTATCTATCTATCTATCTATCTATCTATCTATC